AGGGGATCTCAACCCTTGGCTTGGTGTTGTCAGCACCACGCTCAGCCAGTGAGCAAACTGGCCATCCCTATATAGGATCCGAACCCGTGGCCTTGGTGTTATCAGCACCGCACTCTACCGAGTGAGCCACAGGCCGGCCCGTCCTTTGCTTCTAATACAGGGGAACTTCCTGTGGGAACCAGAACTTGAGCTGTGTGGTTGTTTAAATTGCTACTTTGCTGCTGTTTCCCTAGGGAAGGCTTTTTGTGCAGCTCAGGGTTTAATGGTTGACTTTATAATTCCGGCTTTTTGTGCAGCTCAGGGTTTAATGGTTGACCTTATAATTCCGGCTCTCCAGAGACCCAGTGGATCTGTGTTCTGTAGAATCTCTGATCTGGGTCTGAGTTTTTTCATCAAACTGCATCCCATGCAATTCTGCATTCATGACCAGTCTCCTCTGAGTGGTCCTGTGCTGATGGGGGGCAGATCAGCTGTCCTTGGTGTGTCACTCTGTTCTCCTAGTGGGCATGTCGCCCCCACCGCCTGTGCTGCAAACATTTCCCATGGGACAGGCCCTGCACCAGTCCCTTGCAATGACTCACCAGCTTCTGAGTGGCTCCCTTTTTTCAGTTGTTCTGGCTCCTTGCTCCTACGTGGGTCCACGGGAACCCTATTAGTGGTCTTGCTGTCCTGGGGCTGCCAAGGCCCTCTTCTCTCCTGCTGTCCTGCTGCCTCCAAGTAACTCCATCTGAAGGGCACAGCTGTGGCTTCTGCCAGCTCCTGCTCCGTGTGCTCAGCAGCTCCAGCCTTAAAGCAGCCATGGCCCAAAATGCCCAGAGCAGCTTTTTCTTTATCTCATCGTAGTTTCTCCCACCTTGATGAACTCCGTAGGTCTCTCCTCCTCTTCCTCTGAGCTCCAGAGGCCCCAGCTTGGCTGATGTTACATTTTTATAGTTGTAAATTTGGTTCATTTGTGGGAGTGACGCTGTGGAACATCTATTCCGCCATCTTGATTGGATCCTCTCTTCATTCTTTCTTTGTCTGCTCCTCAGAGCAGAAATTCCAATTACTGTTACTGGACTCAGGTCCGGCTGCCCACCCCTTTGAAAAAGAAAGAAAAAAAAAACAACTCAGAAGTCAAATGGTTGGTGTTAGAAAAGCAGATGTGTTCAGCTGAAGGAGATGGTAGGCTCTCCCATCTCAAATATTTACATTTACTGAGGGGTTTTTAAAGGAAGGGGTTGAGGGAATGAATGTGGGAGGTGAAAAGAGCAGGAGATGTGAGTTATGAGGGGTTCGTGTCTGTGAGTCACATACAAGGTCTCTGCAAGGCCTCATCTGGTTTCTGTTCTCATCTTCACTGTTATCTCAGGACCCTGCAAGATTCTGATTTGTGCTGTTGTACTTGGCTGGTGCCCAAGGTCAGCTTCAGTTGTTTGGCCTTGATCATTTCTCAAAACTCTACAAGTCTCAAAGAAAGAACTGTTAGCTTTGCAAAGTACTAATTAGCTTCTTGGGCTTGTTTTCCTACTTAGTGAGTGAGATAAGAAAGTCAGGGGATGGGAAGCAAGAGTGGAGAGAAAAAAAACTGTCCTTTAAAAATCCTCCCCCCCCCCTGCAGCCCAGGCAACTTTAGGTCCCAACATGCCTTCAGTCCTGCTCACTCCAACATTACCTCCTCTTCAAGTACACTGATTTTTTTCTACCTGCTCAAATCTGCTGTTGAACCCCTCTAGTAAAATTTTCATTTCAGTTATTAAACTTTTCAGCTCCAGAATTTCTATTTGGTTCCTTTTAATAATTTCTATCTCTTTACTGAATTCCTCATTTGTTCACACATCATTGTTTTTTTTTTTTGGCCCATGGTTTCTCTTAGTTCATTGAACATATTTAACACAGACGATTTAACATCTTTGACTAGAAATTCCAATGTCTGGGCTTCCTCAGGGACATTTTCTGTCCAATTCATTTTTTTCTTCCTGTGAATAAGCCATATTTTCTTGCTTCTTTGTATACTTTGTAATTTTTTGAGAACCGAGCATTGAATATTATATGTGGCAACTCTGGAAATCAGATTGTCCCCCTCCTCGGGAACTGCTTTTGTTGCTTATGAAGGCAGAAGTCTTCTGTTTCTATAGTGAGTTTTCAAACTATTTTTGCAAAGCCTGTATTCATTGTTGTGTGTAGTCACTGAAACTTCTGCTCTATTGTCTCTGTGGTCAGCCTGTGACCTGATTTCCTTATCTTCTGAAGTTCAGCAGTGTTGCCCTTCATCAAGTGCTCCCCTGGTTACCGTGCCTCATCAGGTTCGAGTCCCAAAATAGTGGATTCTGATAGTTTTTATTATTTTTCAGCTTAATGGTTGTTTCTCTGGAGAGACTGAACCCTAGAGCTTCCTACTCTGCATTTTCTGTCACAATGTTGTTATTACTTTTCGGCAGCTGGCTGGTATGAGGATCTGAACCCTTGACCTTGGTGTTACAACACCATGCTCTAACCAACTGAACTAACTGGCCAGCCCACAAATGTTATTTTTAAAGACACCTAAATTTCAGAGATTGTTGCTATGCCCCATGAAAGTACCTCCAATCTTTAGTCCCAGAAGTTTTGAGGGGCTGTCTCAGTGCATTACCCAGGTTACTGATATTGAAATGAGCGTCCACTCTGTGAAAGGTGGACTTGTATGTTTCCTTCAGTGTGTCTGACACTTCTTACTTCTCCCACATACAATAAACTGATAATCCTGCAAGATTTCTTATTTGGACATAGAATGTGAGAATCTCTACCTCATTTAAATTAAAACAGGAAATGAAAACACAAAACTGCAATGACCAGGCTGTAGTAGAAACAGAAATTTAATATAATATTCAAGTCTAGCATTTACTATTTACAAGAAATAAATATTGCCCCTCCCCAATTGGTAAACACTTTTTTTTTGCATTTTATACAAATAGTCAGTTGCCCTCCCCCTCCCCCCAAGCCCTCCTTCCCCACTAAACCCCATCTCATGTGGTCTTGTAAAGCCCAGGATGCAGTGGTGAATGGCACTTGCAGTGGCATAAGATTCAACATCAATGGGACTCGGCTGGGACTGTCCTCATTCACCCGCGAGTGTGGTCCATGAAGAGGATTTCTCTCCTCTCCTAGGGGAGGGCTGGGGTACATGGTGCGTGAGACTCCCTCACTCTCAATTGGCCCTGATGATGGAATCTTTGGTGCAGCCTGAGAAAGGCTAGAGTGGTGGGAGGAGGGTCCAGAACCCCTGCGAAGGTCACGGGACAATGCCCGTGGGCACAAGGAGAGAATTGCAGTGGTCAGATCCAGTGGGTGTGGGTGAGTGGGTACTCTGGGGTGCCTATGGGCACAGGTGGCAGTGATCCACATCTGGGAAGGTGTCAAGGAAGTATACAGAGGGCAGTGCCCAGGGACAGGCAGAGTACCATGCCTGTTGGCAGCGCTCCTTGGCCAAAGTTAGCTAGTCCTCTGGTTCCAGAGAGCAGAAGGCACCTAAGGCAGCGAGTGGTCCACGGGAGGCCAGGTCAGCCTGTAGAACAGCAGGCGTCAATCCCAGCAGCAGGGGAGGTTCAGGATGAAACTTGAGTCTGGGGTGCCCTGGGCTGGCAGGTGGGCAGAAGGTGCCCAGCCGGCCTGGCTCATTCTAGTCCTTAGCTACCGGCCAGCCACACCATGGGGAGATGCCCTTAGAAGATGCCCTTGGCAATCTTGAGTCCTTTCTGCTTCATGCGAGGGAGGGTTGAACTGGCTCCGTGCTTGACCTTTGCCCCCTTGGTGAAGGTTCGCTTCTTCAGGACAAAGTCATAGTTGGCGGTGGAGTTCATGGCGTAGAACACGTTGGCATTTTCAGGGATCTTCAGCTCTGGTGGGGGAGGGGCAGAGGGATGGTCAGTGGTGCTCATGGGGACCCCCACTGGATACCTCCACCACTTGAGAGCCCATGCAAGGACAGGCCTGTGCCACAGACCTGAGATCCCCTCATAATCCATCTCCAGGACCACCAAGGGACCCCTCTCAATGGTTCCTGCCTGAGCACAGACTCCTTTGTTTAAAAAGGGACTCTGGGGGACTGGCCAGTTACCTCACTCAGTAGCATGTGGTGTTGATAACACCAGGGCCAGGGGTTTGGATGCCCATACCAGCCAGGTGCGAAAAAAAAAAAAAGGGACTCTGACTCCAGAACTCCCCAGCCCAGCCTGGTGTGGGCAAAGGGTCATCCCACCCCGCCCACACTGCTGCCTTTGCTGGCTGGGACATCCAGCTGGAACAGGCTTTCTAGAATCCAGGCCACCTCCCCAGAATCTTGCCCTACTCAGGACAAGGGCTCCAAGGACCAGAAAAGGGCAGGCCTTGCCCCAGCCCCCCATGCCAGTCCCAGGCAGGCCACCACACCCATGGGTTCCAGGCCCCAGCAAGCTCTTGCTCTTGGCCCCTATCTCCCATGAGTCTTCTCTGGCCTCGAGCCTGACATGAACCAGTGCTGGGCTGTATGCTTCTGCCTCCATCGTGTGGCCCTTGCTCTAGTTCCTTAACCTCTCTAGGCCTCAGTCTTTCTTTCTTTAAGATGGGGAGTCTCACCTACCCTGCCCGCCTAACCACAGTGGTGCAAGAAGCTGCCAGAGGGTTTAGAATACAACTTCTAGGATCATAGGAGTTACTGCTAAGTGTTTGGGCTGATGGCTGCAAGTGGGTGTTCAGCTAACTGTAAAGAAAATGAAGTGATGATAATATTTATAGTTAATCTTGATGGCCCACATATATACTATGTGCTTCTCTCTATATATAAATACATAGGATCATCCCACTAACTCATTGGATTTTTTTAATATCCATTTTGGGAATGAGAAAGTGGCCACAGAGGACTTCAGGACCTTGCTCCAGGTCTCTGAGCCCAGGCCTGTGCTTGTTCTCTTGATTCTGTTCCCAGTTTCTGGAATACTGAGTTGGCTCTCTAAAGGCCTGAGTTTTTAGTGTTGTACGTGCATGGACTTTAACATTCGGTGCGCAGTCCATGGCAGTTGCGGTTCTCTCCGAAGCACACGTTTTCCAGTCTTCCAATGGGTCATTTGGCCACCCTGCTCCAGGGACAAAGTCTCCTCATTGATGTTAGATTATTATTATTTTTTTTAAAAGATGACCGGTAAGGGGATCTTAACCCTTGACTTGGTGTTGTCAGCACCACGCTCAGCCAGTGAGCGAACCGGCCATCCCTATATAGGATCCAAACCCGGGGCCTTGGTGTTATCAGCACCGCACTCTCCCGAGTGAGCCACGGGCCGGCCCCTGATGTTAGATTTGAACTGCGTTCACGCCCAGGAAGGGCACATGATGGGGAGGCCCAGTAGCCACTGGGGGCAGCGAGGGTTAGATTTGAAATGCGTTCACGCCCAGGAAGGGCACATGATGGGGAGGCCCAGTAGCCACTGGGGGCAGCGAGGAGACACTGGGGGCAGCCAGGGCTGCCCTGGGACAGGTCGGTGTCTGTACGATGCCCACTGCCACCCTGTTAGTAAGCTTTCTGGGGTCTTGGGCCTGGGGTGTGGTGCTGACCCCTCCTCTGCTGTCTGGTTCTCTGACTTACTCCGATCTTCTGAAATAATCTGTACCAGCTCATAGTCCTCTGGCTCGTCCTCATCCAGGTTGTGTTTGTCCATGGCCTTGCGGATTACAGCTGGAGCCTTATCTTGGCTGGTCACCTGGATTGGGGTGGGAGACAGGCCATCAGATCAAGGGCCCTGGAATGGCTCCCCCAGAGTGCAGTAGCCAAGGACCTTCCAGAGCCACCTCTGCACTGAGCACAGGGGCTCATAGCTTCTGGCCGGGTGCTAATGTGTCCGGAGGGCCTTGTCACCTTCTCCTGCTCCCCAAGGGAGACCCCCATGTAATGAGGAGGGGTTTTCCCCAACCGTTCCTGGCCCCATTCTCCTACAAGAATCTACCTCTTCCTCCCACGCCACCTTGGGAAGCTGCGTGCCCCCAGGAGCTGATCCCCTTGCCCCGTCCCTCCAAAATCATAGTATCAGTGAGCCTGGGGAACAGACAGTGTCTAATGCAAGCTTGAGAGGATGAGAGGAGGAGCCAGCAGTGCTCAGGGGCTCCTATGCACAGGCCAGCACTGGGCTGGAGAATGCAATGGTGGTCAGCACTAGCCAGACCCCTGGTTCCCTCAACCCGAGGACCAGAGTGTGGGTGGGATTTGGACACAGGGTCATAAAAGTGACTGCTTAGCAACTAGGGACAGCCATGCTAGCTTGTGGCAGCAAGAGGCTGAGTGCAGGGTCGGTGTGTGGTGGGGGTTCTTGACCCAGTCTTGGGGCCGGAGGGGATGCAAAAGGCTCATCTGCAGCAGGAGACCAGGGGCATGGGGAAAGCCTAACTAGGGACAGCCATGCTAGCTTGTGGCAGCAAGAGGCTGAGTGCAGGGTCGGTGTGTGGTGGGGGTTCTTGACCCAGTCTGGGGGCCGGAGGGGATGCAAAAGGCTCATCTGCAGCAGGAGACCAGGGGCATGGGGAAAGCCTCCCTCCGTGCACTGCCGTACACATCCTGCCAGCAAGCCTGTTGGCTTCGCCTTCAGCTTACACCCACACTCTGACACTGCTGGCCTGCCTCGGGTGCAGCCTGCGGCAGCCACCACCCACCCCATCTCCCTGACCTAGACTGTGGCAGCAGTGTCCTGACCAGCCCGCCCCCCATGGAGAGCCCACATCCATGGCTGCTCTCCTCTGCCCAATGCCCAGCGCTCCTGTCTCCCTCCACAAGGTGCTGCCCACAGGACCCGACGCAGCCCAGGCCCTGCCACCTCCTGACCTTGTCTCACCCCCAGCCTCTGCTCCTCCACCTTGGGCCCCTGCTGTCCCCCCACCTGTGGGCACACTCCTGCTGGGGCTTTGCACGCTGCTCTCTCCCTGCAGGCCATGCCCTTTGGGCTGATCACTGCCTTCTTTATTGCTGCATCTGGCTGACCATCTGTCCTCCCCGACCCACTAGAAGGTCCACACCAGGAGGGCAGGGACAGGGCGTGGCGTGCCTGCGCCCACCGGCTCACCAGGATGCTCTTGTACATGTTGCCGTTGTCCACGTCCAGGCTGACGCGGATGATGCAGCAGTCGCCCACCTGCTGGTTATAGAGTGGCAGCGAGGGGCTGTAACTGCAGACCCCCGAGACGGAGCGCTTGTGGCTGCGGGTGGAGGCCACGGGTGTGGTGGAGGCTGAAGAGGACGAAGTGCTGCTGGAGGCTGAGCTGATGCCGGAGGTCTCCGGGGAGGACTGGGAGGTCGACTCCCAGAACTGTGGGGGATGGCAAGGTCAGCAGAAGCCCGGGTCCCTGTAGGGCACCCAGGGCTGGCGGCCTGCACTGGGGGCTTCCAGAAGCTGTGTTCAGGAGCTGGGACTTTTTGTCCCCTTGTGGGTTTAAAGTGGAGAATGCTGGCACTGGGAAAGGAGGGGCTGGGGAAGGGCTATCGGGGGAAGGGTGGGCAGTCACCTTCTTTTCCTGGCCATCAGGTGACTCTGGGACAAAGCTCATGGTGATCTCCTCCACATCGGAGCTGGAGGAGCCAGCTGAGTGGACGCTGAGTGCGTCAGCCATGTCCCCGCTGCTGAGGTAGGGGCCGCACCTGAGCTGGTCACAGGACTTGGAGTGGGAGCTGCCGCTGGTATTGAGCTCTGTGCTGGGGGCCTGGCGGCTAGGAAGAAGGGCTGGCTTACTTGAGGGGCCTCCCCAGGACACGTCCCCTGCACCTGCCTGTCTGACTCCTCAAGCCCAGGTGTAATCCCGAAGCTTCTCTGAGTCCTGAGGCAGCTTCCCTTCCCGCCCCCGCCTGACTCCTGCCCGGCCCGGTCCAGGCACTTACTCGCTCCAGCGCTTCACAATGGCCGTGCTCTTTCTTGTCTTGAGAGTGTTGCTGGCAGACTCGGATGGGGGCTCCAGCTCACACGACAGGCTGTAGCTACAGGCAGAGGGGTAGCTGTGAGGCCACCAGGAGCCACATTCAGGTCTTTCTCCCAGGGCCTGCCCAGAAGGTGGAGTCCGGGTGTCCCGGTTGTCCCCAGGCAATGTAGTCTGATGCTGACCAAGGGTCCATGCTGCAGGTTCTCTGGAGCTGACCCCTGGGAGAGCTGTCCCCAGTTCCTGCACTGGCCTCACCTCTCCGTCTCACTGAGTCGCTCCATGGCCCGAAACCAGGCCCCAAAGTGCTCCTCGGGCGCGATGCTGTAGTTGTTGCAGGCCGACTGTAGCAGCTTGATCTGGGCGATCACTTCGAATTCCTGAGGCCAGAGGGAAGGACAGGATGGTGACAGGGCCGGGGTGCGGTGCTGGGTGGGGCAGGGCAGGGGCTGTCTTTGGGTATTTGTTCTTGGGGTCTTCTCCCCTCTACCCCATCCAGGCTCCTCCCTGTTCTCAGGATTGGGTTCAAACAGCCACTCCCGAGGAAGTCATCCTAGATTCCAACTTCCCAACCCCACCCAAATGTCCCCATACATCTAAGAGGAAGGGGGATGGAGCTGACACCGTCCTCCCCAGGTGCGTGTGATTTCCACCCCTCCCCGGCAGCTGCTCACCTTTCTCCTCTTCTCGAAGTTGATCAGTCTCCCCTGGAAGGCAGACCAGGCAATCTCCATCAGAAAGCGTCCCTTCCACCACTATCACCCCCATGCTGCACTACCAGGAGCGCCCACCAGGGGGAAGGGCTCATGCACACAAGTGGATTAGGGTGGGTTCTGGGGGCAGGGCAGGGGACCTGGGGGCACAGGCTCAGGGGCCTTCTTGCCCAGCATTCTCTGAGGACAATCACCCAGGTCTTGCCCAACCTCTGAGAGCCCGGCTTCCCTTTCCCATCGATGGCCACTGCCTGAGGGAGGGACTGCATCCAGCTCAGCCAAACCCTCCTGCAGCTGTGCGGTCAGGCAGCTCTGGAGTGTCACCAGCCAGGCAAGTAAGGGGCTCTTTCCTCCCAGGCCTAAGGCTCACCGCACCCCCCTCCCCCACTGTCCATACCCTGGGCTCACTCACATACAGATAGTCCTTCATGGCAGTGTCCAGCATGACAAGGTCAGTGAGGAATGTCCCCAAGTAGGGAACGGTGCCCTGGATGACACCCTGTGGCATCAGGTCGAGTGAGATTAAGCAAGGCCTAGGCCCCTCCCCTGAAGGCTTCTCTGCTGCAAACCTCACCCCACCCCAGGCCTCCCACATGGTGCAGCCTAAGGTCCCTCTGGCCCCCAGGGACCCCAAATTCCCTCCAGTCACCTCCCAGGCTGGCATTTGGCAAATCCCCAAGGTTAAGTGTTCCCGCCCTCCCTGCCCTCACATGCGCCCCAAGCCCAGCTCTGCCAGGCCCTTGCTCTGGTGGCTGCAGCCAGTCCTCTGATGACACTAGCTAGTCAGGGCATGGCCCCGCTGGGGTGCAGAGGAGCCTGGTCTAACGGGGCACTTCAGACACTGTGGCAACAGGAGGGAGGGTTGGGGCCTCCTCTCCTGGCTCCCAGACCAGCCCCCTGCCCCTCCCAGGCCTGGCACACTCACCGTCTCCTTCGGCCGCTTCTGGGCTCTCTTAGGGTTCATCTCCAGGGTGGCAAACTTGGAGGTCCCCTCCTGCCAGGGTCAAGGATGGAGTGAGCAAGGCCACCCTCCCCTCAGCCCTCACCCCTCAGGTACCTCTGGCCTTGGGCCTCAGTCAGCTGGTGCCAATGCCCCAGAACCTCTGCCCCAGCACTCATGGGGTGTGGGACTGGGGATAGCGGCCTGGCTTCCCTGAACCTGTTTCCTCACCTGGAAAGTGAGACAAGAACTTCACCTGGCTCATGGGGTCCCTGCACCTGGCTCATGGGGTCCCTGCACCTGGCTCATGGGGTCCCCCAGGACTCCGTGTCACATGACTATCACTGGTGCTGTTCTGATCTTGCCCCTCTGCCGTGGAGTCCTGAATAAAGCTGGCACACGTCCTGTTCTCCCGTGAACCTCATCACCTCCCCATGATGTCAGCACTCCCGGGTCGTCATTCCTCTACTTTCCAGATGAGGAAACAGACCCAGAGAGGGACAGCACCATGTCCAGGGCCACATGGGGACTCAGAGCATGGAGGCCTTGCCCCAGCTGCCTTCACCCCCCTCTGGCCACTGGCCAGGGTCCCATCCTCTAGGCCTCTTGGTGTGGGCCAGGGACCCTGGCTGGGCTGAGCCATGGGGGAGAGGGGCGAGTGTCTCAGGAGCCCTGGTAGAGCAGCTCCTGCTTGTCCCAGCCTCACAGTCTCTGCCCCCAGTCTGGGCCTGAGCCCGTGCCCCAGGCTTCCATCCCCATGGAGGCCCTCGTGATGCTCCCTGCAGAGAACTCTGCCTTGTCCATGAAGGATGGATCCCCTAGATGCCATCTCTGACTGAGAAGATCGGGGCTGCCAGGGGCACTGGACAGTGACATTTTGCTTCCTCTTTTATGTGGAAGCTTCTGAGGTCGGCTCAGGAAGGCCCCACCATGTATTCAGTAGACCCTGCTATTTCTAAGCCATCTGGGCACTTGTCACAGCTAACGAGGTACTGTGGTGGGAATCCCATGGGGCTCTCTGTGGGTGATCTGCAGGGTCTGCACCAGGACCAGAGCAGGGAGTCACACGGTGCACCCAGACCTGGCTCCTGGGTCTGGCCACCTGGGCCCTGGGCATACCCTGCAGGTCTCCATCCCTGGGCTAGGTCCCTGGCCATGCAGGGCAGGCAGAAGGTGCAGCAGGGCCCAGCTTCATGGGGACAGGCTGGGCTGGTTTGGAGAAAGAAGCTGCATTCCCTTCACCCACCCAACAGGTGAGAAGATGCAAAGTCCCTGCAGGAGGGACCAGTGAGGACGCCAGAGCCTACTCATCTTGCCAGCTCCTCTGTCCCTTCTGGAACAGCCTGGCTGCCCCTACCAGAATCAACAGGGAACTCTTGCCCCCCAAATTGCCCCCACTTGCCCTGTCATGGGGCAAACAGATCCTTCTTCATCCAGATGGGACAGGACTGGAATTTTTCAAACGAACTTTCAGTGAGACACCTCCCCACCCCCGCCACCGCCCTGTGCTCCCCCTGCCCACCCTTACCTTGATGAGCAGCTCTCTGCTCAGGGAGTAGTTGTTGTCATCTGAAAAAATCTCCGACAGTTTCTGGAAGATTCGGAAGCTCTCCCTACAGGAGGGGCACACAGAAGGGAGGAGAGAGTGGGGAATGGTGGGGAGGGGTGTGAGTGCAAATCCGTTTCATTTTAGAACTCAAAGACCCAAGACTGCCTGGCCGCATGGTTTTCAAACAGGGTTCTGCTGAGCGCTTTGGGCTCATTTCATTTTAGAACTCAAAGACCCAAGACTGCCTGGCCGCATGGTTTTCAAACAGGGTTCTGCTGAGCGCTTTGGGCTCATTTCATTTTAGAACTCAAAGACCCAAGACTGCCTGGCCGCATGGTTTTCAAACAGGGTTCTGCTGAGCGCTTTGGGCTCATTTCATTTTAGAACTCAAAGACCCAAGACTGCCTGGCCGCATGGTTTTCAAACAGGGTTCTGCAGGGCTCAGCAGGCCCGGGCAGGGGACCTTCACATTGGGACAATGGTTTTGGTTTCAACTGGACAAAGAGTTCTGTGGCTATGGTGTAAATACTTGAAAATCTCCCACATGGCTCAATCCAGTATCTGATAAATAAGGCAGCTGAACCCTGGCAGAACGGCTGACCCTGGAGCCAGTGAGACAGCATCCGCCCGCCAGAGGGCGCCCGCCCAGCAGCAGGTGCACGTCCTCGGGATTCACGGCCCCCCACAAGCCCAGGCTCCGGCAGCTGCTACAGAGGCCGGCGCACCCACCTGGAAACCTCTTCCCATGTCTTCTTCAGACGGTGGATTGAGTTGCTCTGTAGCGCAGAGAGGATGGCATAGAGCGACGAGAAGTTCTTGAGGAGGCGACACTCCTGGGGAGGGACAAGAATGAGCCGTGAGGTGGGGATGGAGCTCCTGCCTGGTCCAGCCATCGCCCCCTTGGCTGATGAGACAGATGCCCAGGGAACCCTGGAGGGCCCACCTGGGGTCTGGGGGGGACACAGAGGAGGATCTGAGCTCAACCAAGGACAGAGCGTAAGCAGGAAGTGAGCGTCCAGGCAGTGGGGCCTGAGGGTCAAGGCCAGCTGCCCCTGGGAAGGTGGGCGGGGCCAGTGGGGGCTTGGACCACAGACCATGTCCTGAGAGTGGACGAAGGTTTAGCAGGGTCCCCGGGCCCCTTCTGCAGCGTACCCTGGCCACCTCAATCCAGTGCTCCACCACCCTGGCCCTGTCCGGGGCCTTCATGCTCCGGTCCCCGAGGCAGGTGGTGATAACACAGTTGGCCACATTGTTGAACTGGTTGACCGTGGCACGGATGGTGGGTGCCAAGTGCTCCTTGCCTTTCTTGTCCCGCTGGGACCAGATGGAGCCCAGGCAGTGGTAGGGCACCACCTTCTTGAACAGCTCCTGGGGAGGAAGGTAAGTGTCACCTGGCCCTGCTGCAGCACAGTCCGTGGTCCCCCCAGTCCAGGGCCCAGTGGGTTGAGCTGGAGCTCGGGATGCTGAAGTTGTGGCTTGAGCCTGGTGGGGGTCTCTAGGGTTTGTTCCCCACCCACTGAGGAGCCTAGTACACAAGTGACCTAGGAGGAAATGCTGGAAGGGAAGAGAGCAGCATTTTCCCTGCCTGTCCTCACTAAGTCCACGCTTCAGAAGGTGGCACCTTCTATCTCGTCACGCCTCAGGTCTGTTTCCCTGGCCAGAGGCACATTCGCTGTGGGGGCTACATTAAGGGCTTTGTCCAGGTGTCTGCCATGGACACTAGCACACATCAGGAGCCTAATGTATGCTGAGGCTGGTGAGGCATCCTGGATGGATGGGGGGTGAACTGTAGGCCTGAGTGCACCTCGGTGAGCACTGCTCCACCTCCCACAGGCCGGGCCTGCCGAGCTCTCTGTCTGTTCTGTCTCCTGCTGGGGGTGGTTCTATCTCTGTCCAGAGGGGAATTGAGGCCTCATGGTTAAGAAACTTGTCCTGATCACTTAGCTTATAATGCTGGAGCTGGGATTTGGACCAGAACATTGGTTCTAGACCAGCGAAGGGTAGGTCTGGGCAGAAGATGCTGGAAGGAAGGTCCCCTGCCTTGACAAGCCAGGCCCACTCACTGCATCCATCAGTGTAAACTGCTCTGCCACCAGGTCAGGAGGGAACTCCAGGAGGCGAGGCTTCCCCTCACTCAGCCCGTCGTCCACAGCCACAGGCGAAGGCCAGGGAGGCTCTGATGAGATAACTGGTACTCGAGCTGGCTCCAACTGTACAGTGTGTGATAGAGCAGGTGCTGGTGCTGGTGCTGGAGCTGGTGCTGGCACTGGCAGTGGAGCTGGTGCTGGAGCTGGCTCTAGCTCTGGAGCTGGTGCTGGAGCTGGCTCTTGCTCCACAACTGGGGCTAGAGCTGACTCTAGCTCTGAAGCTGGAGCTGGCACTGGCTTTGGAGCTGGCACTGGACTGGGTGCTAGGGCTGGTGCTCGAGGCCACATGTGAGTGACACTGGAGGCAGAGAGCTTCTCCATGGGGACGGAAAATCAGGAGTAAGAAGCAGCAGCACCCGGGGCAGCACATCCCACAGGGCCGGGCGTGGGGGCTCTTTCCACGTGAGGCCACATGTGAGTGACACTGGAGGCAGAGAGCTTCTCCATGGGGACGGAAAATCAGGAGTAAGAATCAGCAGCACCCGGGGCAGCACATCCCACAGGGCCGGGCGTGGGGGCTCTTTCCACGGCTCACCCCACTGTCCTTACATCGGCCCTAGGAGGGGGTCCTCTGAGCACCCCTGTCCTCACATGAGGAAACTGAGGCTCACAGAGGTGAAGTGGCATTCCCAGGACCACAGCAGTGGGTGGCCGAGTCCCCACTGTGCTGCGGGGGGACGCTCACCTCTTGAACAGCAGGTCCAGCACCTGCTGGGTGGTGGTGAAGGCTCTGTAGGTGCAGAGGAAGATAGTGACGTAGGAGAGGTCGCTGCCCTGGAAGGCGGGCACCAGGTGCTCCACCAGCCTCTCCAGCGTGCCTGCCTTCACAGTCCGCACCCTGCACGTCTCATACAGGTTCAGGCCTGACTCATTCTCACACTGCGGGGGACAGAGGAGTGACATAGTTAGTAGCAGCACCATGCACCTCCAGGAGGCTTGGGGGCTGGGACTCAGTGGCTTGTGGCAGGAGGTGGATGTGAATGCCAGTAGCAGAAAAAGGTTCTCAGCTTTTAAAGTAGAACTGGTGGCGTGGGAATGATTAAAACATGAATACTTTCAGGTCTGTTTGTGAGCTGAGTAATGCTAATAATACTGCCCTGTATTCAGAGCATCAGCTGCAGTGAGTCCTTACAAAACATCCCATTCTAGAGATAAGAAAACAGAGGCTTATCCTGGGGAGGGAGGGATCAGCTTGTAGGACCACAAGATGCACCTACAACCCGATTGACATGGCCACAGAAAAGAATCACATCAGGTCCGACAGCAGTGAGGTGCTGAATCGCCATGGTAACCAGCCTCCCTTCTGGAATATTTATCACGTGGCTGAGTCTAGCCAGGGGCTCCGGGTACGTGTTCTGTGAGATGGCAAAGTACAGAGAAGCACACACCACAGCCTGAACCTGTGATCGTTTGGCGTAAAGACAGTCCTACCAAGTGAGACAATGTGTAAGGCTGAGAGACGGTGTGGCAGGACAGTCGGGCTGACGGCTACGCACGGGGACGGGAGTTAAAACAAGAAAACCTGTAGCCAAACATGGAAACACTGACGGCCCACCATGAAGTGAGAACTGAATAAAGGTGTCTTCTCTGACATTCATGTAAATATGGGAACAGTGGGCTGGGGGAGGGAGTGGGACCTAGATCCCTTTGGAAAAGGGACTGTGGGGCCCTCAGGCAGCAAAGTTCTGGGAAGGAGCCTGGTGGAGTTACCAGGGTGGCACCTGGGGCCACGCCCATGTGAGACCCTCGGACGCACTCACCCCGAGCCAGCGCTGGCCTTTGTTGGCTCCGTGGTGCAGCTGCACCTTGCGCAGGGAGATGGAGTAGATGACCCCGTTGATCAGCTCCTCACCAATCTCCTGCGTGGAGCTCTGCAAAACAGTGCCCAGCAGCCGGGCCCAGGGACATCAGGGGCTTGCCTGGCCTTTACTGCAGGGGGGTGGCCCCATGCAACCTTCTGTTCCCAGAGGAAGCACAGGCTGGCGGCTGCACAGACCTCTGACTCAGAATGAGATGAGGTGACAGCTCAGGGCTTGGGCTGAACATCAAGGCACAGAGCCACTGTCCCCACCCTCCACTTCCCACTCAGCCAGCATGAGCTGGGGTGTGAACATGATGGGCCCACCAGACTTCAATCCCCCACCAACCTGCTCCCACCCTGGGCTGGTCCTCACACTGTCCCCTCTCCAAGAGGGGGACTGTTATTCAGCCATTTCACAGACAGGTAAAAGGAGGCTGCGAGAAGAGCAACTGGTCCACGGCCACGCTGCCTTGAGTACGTAGCAGAGCCGGGGTCCCCAGGCACTGACACGCCCAACGGTATCTAGGTGGCTATGGCCCCCAGAGAAGGACCCTCCCCTGGGCCTGAGGCCAGTGACTGTCCTCACACTCATCCCTCCACTGCTCAGCCTGGGGGCCCCAGCTGACCCAGCAGCAGTGGGCAGCTGCTCCTGCCCAGCCCTGGAGTCAGCATCACGCATTGGGAGCAGGTGTGGGGTGTCCCTGACGGCCACATCTGAGGCCACTTCCTTCCCTTTCTGCTCATTCATGCTCTGGTGCCTGCTTGGGCAACACAGTGGTTCCCAGTTCCCTGTTGTCATCATGTGATCGGCTGGTGTGAATGGCCACAGTACTGGTATCCAGGCAGACGGCTGGGGGTCCACAGAACCCCCAAACCATGGGGTCTTGCCTGGAAGAGGAAGGGTCTTGTCACCTGGTTGCTCTCTGGATCCCCACCAGAAAGGAAAAGCCCTTGTTTTAGGAGACAAATGCTCTGCCTCCCCCAAACCCCAGGGCAGGCTGGCCGCATCACCAGGGCCGGCCAAGGCCACTTGGCCATGGCTACCCCAGGCTGCACAGCTCCTAGCTGCCCCTGTCAAGGGAAGAGGTGAGCTTACCATGGGGAGGGAGCCTAGTGGGTAAAGATATGACCTCTGACAATTTAGGGAGGAGCTGGGAGGCACGAGCCAGGCACAGGGTCATCGACCCCACACCGGGTGCCAGCAGCTGGGACCGCGGGTCACTGCCCCAACCCAGGCAGGCGTGGCGCTCGGGTAAGGCCAGGTGAAAGTGCTGACTCAGCCCAGGGCCCACTGTCAGACCCTCGCCTCACACCAGGCAGCATGCTGTGGACTGCATCCCCGGCCTCCTGCCTGCCTCGGAGGGCTCCAGGAGGCCCAGGCACTGTCCTCTGGAAGGCCATGTCCTCTGACCCGAGGCTGTCCTCCCACACTGGGCTTTGAACCAACAGGAAAGCCACGGGCAGCACGCTGGGCTCCTGCCCCTCCGCCTCCTCTGGCGAGACGGCCAGCCCTGTTTCTTGGAAGTCAGCAGGCAGCTCACAGGCGCAGGCACACCCACACCCACGCCCACACCCACGAGCCACCCACGGGAAGCCCGGCCCTTCCATCCAGGGAAACCAAGACAGGCGCGTGCTCTCCTCTCCCCCACCACGTGCCCCTCCCTCGCCTAGAAAACTGCCCCTTGGACAGGCTTAGAGGCCACGGCCCCGCCCACCCCAGCCTCTTCAGGGGTTGAGACCGCCCATTGCAAGGCTGCCTGGTTGGCCGCAAGGGTCTCCCCATCTCCCAGAGACTTCAGCTATGTCTGACCCAGCTGGGAGTCACATGGTATCCTGAGCGAACAAGTGACTGTCAGCAGTTTGGGGATCTCATGCAAGGCCTGCCTGCCACAGGGCACTGGACTTTAACCCCTTGGGAGCCCAGCACAGGGCCCTAATTCACAGTGGGGCTCCATCAGCACCTGCTGGGCAGAAACATGTCCCCAGCCACCCCTACCCACTGGGGTGGGCGGCCCTGGCCATCCCCGAGCAGGGCTAAATAGTGGCTCCTCAGTGAGCTCCGAGCCGTGGGCCTCGGCTGCAGCTGGCTCAGCCCTGCAAGGGTGTCATGTGATCCCTGCACCCTTCCTGAGCAGGGCTAAATAGTGGCTCCTCAGTGAGCTCCGAGCAGTGGGCCTCGGCTGCAGCTGGCTCAGCCCTGCAAGGGTGTCATGTGATCCCTGCACCCTTCCCCCATCCGAGGGGCCCCCTTCTGCCAACCGAGTGGTGTGGTGGGGGGACAGGTGGGATGTTGAGAGCCATGCATGCCTGGGATGGGGGAGTCACCACCTTGTCACATAGACCAGGAGATGCTCCAGCCCACGGAGCTAACCCTGTCCTCTCTGGTTCCTTCACATAACAACAGGAGCAGGAAATGCTGAGTGCAGGCACCATTTAAACCATCCACTCAGACGCGACAGAGGTACTTGCTCTAGAGCGAGCTGTCTGGGTTCAGGGCAGAAAGTGACAGAGTGGGGCCTCTGTCCTGTGCTCCGACCCCTCTTCCAGGGACAGAGAAGGAAAGCAGCCAACAGCCTCGGTATCTGCCCCCAGGACCCTCTGGGGCAGGCAGAGCAGGGCTGTGGCACCCTTGGCCACCCTCGGTCGGCAGAGCAGACAGCCCATCTGGGCAGCGCCAGGCCCCCAGGGACCTCTGGCTGGGCTGGGAGCTCTGAGGGGGAGGAGCAGGGCAGCCTAGAAAACAGCTGAGGCAGAGAATATGTCTTCCCTGAGGGCAGGCAGCCAGGCAGCAGCTCTGAGCTGCTAGGAGAAAAGAATGACACGAGGTTGGCTGTGTCCTCAGGAGATGGGTCCTCCTGTCCTACCCCCAGCAGCCACTACGGATGTCCCGAGGGCCCGGGGACCCCTCAGCAGCAGTGCTTCTGAACGCTGCTTGGCCTTCCAATGCTGGGTCAGGGGAGTTATAAGGGTTGTTCAGTGAGCAGGGCCCCCCCCACACCCCGCTGTCCCTTGGGGCATGGGGTGGAGCTCTGAACACGAGGAGGGGAAACAGGGCCCGGGTGGTGCTGGTTAGTGTCACCTGATCAGCCTTCTCAGCATGATGGGCCTGGAAGATCCCATGTCCCCTGCTAATGGGGGTCAGGAGGAGCCTTACAGGGCCTGCCATCTCTCCCTGAAGGCCGGTCCCGCTGCACATGCCAAGGTGGCACCTTCTCGCGTCCCATCACCCCTGTGGTCCATGCCCTGCTCAGATGCACATTTCCTGTGGGAGCTACACTTAGGGGACCCCAGACCCACAGGTGCCTCCAGCTGCTGACCAAAGGTGGAGACAGAGGGAGAAGAGCTGCCTCCTGCACCGCAGTCACCTCTGGTCCTGGCCCGCATGGAGGCTCAGCCCCACTAGGGTGGGGCAGGAGTGGCTCTATGTGCAGTACCTCCATGTGCATGAGATCACCCTTGGGGGCCTTGCCGCACCCCCTGCACTCCTGCCCAGGTCCACTGAGTCACCAGAGGTAACCCTGGGGCCTTTGCAGGCCATCAGCCAGCACATGAGTCTCTTCCCTGGGGCCTGGCAGACCCCAGAGCGCCATCTCTCATGAAGGGCTCTGCCAAGCCCCTCAGCCTCAGCGAGCTGTCTGTGCACTGTGGAGAACAGCACGGCTCCCTAGTAGGCAACAGCGGGGGTCAAGAGAGAAATCACACAGCTCAGCAACTGGCGCCAGGGCCGGACACGCCTGCCACAACCCCCCAGGAACTGGCAATGAACACTGGGTGGGGAAAACCTTAGGGAAACCTGTCTGAGAACTGCCAGAGGCTTGGGGACCTGCAGGAGGGCCACATTAAAGAAAGCGTGTCACCCTAAAACCCTGCAGCTGGGAGCAGTTTTCTGACTTTTTAGCCTTTTGCTCGAAATGCAGAAGGTAAAACATGGTACAGATTGGAGAAGGCTGCTTGCTCTCTACAGAATCCCAGGCTCCCTAGACTGCTGGAGCCCTGTGCTGCCTGTACCCTCCCCATTTCACAGAAGCGGAGACCTGGGCCCAGGGGAGGGGGTCAACTTAGAGAGTGCCCAGGCTGAGGTGAGAAGCCCGGACTTCTCAAGTCCACGTCCACATTCATCTCTTAGAATGTGAGCCCCACAAGGGAGGGAGCGTGAAAACACCAAGCATCTATGACCCTCCCGCCCTTGGGCCTGTCCCCAGCTCTTGGGTCTTGGGTGGGCGTTCTGCACCCTGAACCCTACCCTAGAACACGGACAGAACCTGGGAAAGGATATGGAGTCAGCCCTGGATGGGGGTGGGCGACACTCCTGGCCCCCAGGCACTGCAGCCCACAGAGGCAACTTGGCCAAGGACTACACAGGTGCCTGACTGCCACGGCAACCAGGGTGCTCCATGACCCCAGAAAGTGAAGTCTGGGGACCAGCCTGTGCTAAGCCCCCAAAGAGGCTGACCCTTGGAACCCTCCCTACTTGCCACACAGCATTTAAGGAAGAAGAAAAACGTGAGTGGGGGTGTGTATCTGGCCCTTCAGGTCTGCTGGCCAGTGGCCTTGCCCACCCCCATCCTCCTGTCCATTACCAGCTTGTGACAGTCAGGCAAGGCCACTGAGGGGCCAGGCCTGGGAGGGGTTGTAGCTGATGGCAACTGAGGAGGGAGGTCCTGAAGGGGTGCAGGGCAGGGCCAGCTGAAGGTTGGAGCCAACACCAACACCACCGACCACCACGCCCACACGCTTCCTGGGTGCTAGGTCCTTTATCCTCCCAACACCCCACCTCATGGATAAGGAAGCAGCCAGGCGCGGAGTCACCCAGGTCAGGAGCCAGGAAGTGCAGCCACGATTTGAACCCTGGCCTGTCGGGACCCACCCAGGCCTGGCTGCTGTTTCTGCCACAGCCAAGCCCTCAGAGTACAGTCTAGCCCCTTGTCACACAGATGTGGAAGAAGGGCCAGAGATAGGAGGGACTTTCTCAGGTCACCCAGCAAGTTGGGGGGTGGCAGGGCCAGCTCTCTCACACCTGCACTGTGGACATGCCTTGGGGAAGAGGGCTGTGAGGCACCACGGTCAGCT